ACAGGAACCACTCAGGACAGGAACCACTCAGGACAGGAACCACTCAGGACAGGAACCACTCAGGACAGGTTTCATCGAGGGCTCAGGTGTGTTCGACTGTCCCTGGACTGGACTGTGGCCTGCTGGGAGGAATAAAATCCACTCTAAATGGTGGCACTTCATAAAAAGCTACAGACTGATTGTAGTGATCACCTCTAAAGGTTGTGCAACAACTTATTTATCTCAGAGTAGCATCCTTTTATTTAGTTTAGATTCATAATTTGATTTTTAATAATTCTGTTGAACCAAAATTAAAAAACAATGACTGATTAATTTTTTTTTCTCGTAATTAATTTAGTCAGTTTCCAAGTTCTCTTAAAGACCTTTGTGGGGCTTTTATTTATTTCAAACTAAAATTCTTCTTTTAACTCAACACAGAGCAGACCTGTCATGAAGTCTCTCCTTAGTTTTACATTAGGGCAGATCTCAAATAGGGTTCTGTGGAGTGGTTGTAAACAATTAATATGTAACCTGTTGCAGATAGCTGTTTGAACCGCCTCCTTTGGAGAAAGAGTTTAACTCTCTGCTCTTGATGGGACAGTCAGTCACGCTTTTATTGTGTTTGTGTTAAAAACAACCATTCCTGGCAGATTCTACGAATCTTTAGGAATTGTTTTTATTTCTGTCAGAACGGTTTGAACAGATCCGGTACACTTCTTGTCTCTTTACTGCCCTCTAGTGTTCCTTCGAATCATTGAACCCATCATGAAGTCATATTTTGATCACATATTATAAAAAAAAAAAAACACATTCCTTTCATTAATGTTTTTTTTTTAACCTCTGTTAACCTTTTTCTTGTTATCTACCTGGATGATTGAGTTACAGCCTTTTTTCATTTTGGCCTTGGTTGTCCTCATGCTGTTTCTGTGAGGAGCAAGTCGGCCATCTTGCCTAAAACATTTGATTATTATGCATGATGATTAATTGTTTTAGATGGATGTTCCCTTTTTGCATGTGTTCAAGCCAGTTTTGTGGGATGCTGTCTTGAAACTCATCAGTGAGGGCTGTTTATGGGGCAGATCTGGTTGGAAGGCCACAGACTGATGAAGTGACACGGATGGAAGATGAAACGTTTCTCCCTAAAAGAAACTGGTCCAGATGAAATGATTTAAACTTTTTTGTATTTATCTCTCTGGATGATTGAGTTTACAAACTTTTCTTTATTCCTCCACTTTTGATTTCTATTGTAGCCACCAGGTGGTGATCTGCGTTCACATTTAGACGATGTGATATTACAGCTTTCCCAAAAGTCCAGACTTGTTTTATTTTTTTTTAAGTCCAAAAATCCATTCGAGCACCCTAAGGGGTAAAACATTTCTTTCTATTAAAAACTTGCTATAAAATGAATAAATTGATGATTTAAAAGAAAACCTAAACTTTAGAGTTTTGTAAAACTGAAGGCCCATACACAGCTGAAATAATAAAAAAAAGTAATTTATGGTAAATTTAATATTTTTCAGGCCGAGATCGTTCTAAAAGACAGACTAGTTTAAGGTGGACTGACAGATTGTTAAATAGTATTTTTCAGCCGTTATGTAAGGAGATAGATTCGCCCTCACCCCCCAGGAATAGTTGTTGTCGTAAAGTTAAGGAACAGTTTGTGGATTAATCTGTCTGAACCGATGAGCTGGTCCACACAGAGCTAAGACCAAAGAGCTTTCCTCCAAAAACATAGTTCTTATCTTCTACATCATCATCATCAGTTTTCTGACAGAAATGTTACAATATTCTGATATTTGTCTCAGAAGCAGCTCGTGCTGCGCCTGAGGTGCTTCAGTCCTAACTCTGCCCAGACGAGCCGTTAGCTCGTCAGTCGGGTCAAAGCCATGACCCGACTTCTTTGATGTGTTTCTGTTCCATAATTTATAAAAACATCAGATTCTTAGAGCTGTTCCAGATTAACACAGAGCAAAACTCTGACCAGACTGTTTGTTCTTGTTTAAAAAGCTATCTGCAGCAGGTAAGATATTAACTGTTTATACCACTAACCACAACATTTTTTCTTTTAAAATGTCTGAACAGTCCCTGAAACCTCGGGACAGTGAAGAAGACCCAAGTGTTCATACTAACGGTGTGAAATGAAATATGAAGGATCAGAGTCAGACCGGATTAATAATCTGAAACTCTTTCAGCTCCAAAGAAGACGTCGAAGAAGAGGAAGCTGGCAGACGGTTCGCGGAGGCTGGTGCAGCCCATCCCTCTGGACTCGTCGGGTCGTCCCGTCTTCCCCATTGTTCTGGGAGGTTTAACGGTCTACAGCCTGGGAGAGGTCAGAACCTCAGACGAGTATCAGACCCAGATTAAAACAGAATGTGTATTTAATCCAGAACCTGCTGAAACATCTGCAGATCATCACAGACAGGATGCTGTTCAACGACGAGTGCGCCATCTACCCCGTAGGTTTCTGCAGCACCCGGGTCTTTGCCGGCATGAAGAACCCCGAGCAGCAGTGCCTGTACACCTGTCAGATCAAAGACGGGGGGGCGGGACCACAGGTACCACTCACACACCTGCTTTTAATCTGTGCAGATTATTCTCAAACGTCCGTTTTTCGTCCGTCTTTAGTTTGAGATCGTTCCTGAAGACGACCCTCAGAACGCCATCGTGGCCTCCTCCGCCCTGATGTGCCACTCCAACCTGCTGAAGGCCATCGCCTCCAGCAGGTAACAAGCTCCACCAAGACCTGGACTCAAGTAGTTCCCAGGCTTCGAGGAGTAAGGTCCAGCTTTAATCCAGAACCGGGTCATTAAACAGCTGATTTTTTTAACTTGATCTTCTCTTAGCTCAAAGACGGTGGTGCCCGTCGTGCCATCGGGGGCGGACTTCTTTGGCTTCTCTCACCCGACCATCCAAAACCTGATCCAGAGTTGTCCTGGAGCTCGCAAATGTAGCAAGTAAGTTCCCTTTGTTACCAGAACCAGTGGTACTGGTTTCAACACACTGGATTACTTGTTTAGTTTTGACGGATTTGACCTGATTGTTCAGAACCAAACGCAGGCTGTGTGGTTTATTTTATGACTTTGGTTCTAAAGGAGCACAGAGGTTCTGTTCCTTTAATACAGAACATCTGAATCAGACCTCTACAACTGGAAATAATTTGTCTTTGTGCACTTTACTGGAGCAAACCTGCTTCCAACCTTTCTGCTTTATCCTGAGACCTTTTGATGTTTTTAAAATTTGATTTAAGTTTAATTGTTTTTGTGTTTCTGATTGTTTTAAATCTTTTGTTTTTTTATGTCCATCCATCCTTCCTTACTTCCTTACTTCCTTCTTTACTTACTTACACTTACACTTACACCTCTACCTCTTCTGGGAAGATTCCAAGGAGTTCTCAGGCCAACTGAGAGACATAGTCTTCTCAACGTGTCCTGGGTCTTCACCGGGGTCTCCTCCCAGTTGGACATACCCGAAGCACCTCCCTAGGGAGGCGCCCAGGGAGCATCCTTACCAGATGCCCGAACCACCTCAACTGGCCCCTCTTGATGTGGAGGAGCAGCGGTTCTACTCCCGAGTCTCTCCAGGATAACTGAACTTCTCACCTCATCTCTAAAGGAGAGTCCATCTACCCTGCAGAAGAAACTCATTTCAACCGCCTGTATCCACAATCTCATTCTTTCAGTCACTACTCAGAGCTCGTGACCATAGGTGAGGGTAGGAACATAGACCAACCAGTTAACAGAGAACTTTGTCTTACAGCTCAGCTCTCTCTTCACCACAACGGACCGGTACAGAGTCTGCAAACTGCAGATGCTGCACCAATCCATCTGTCAATCTCACGCTCCATTTTTCCCTCACTCATGAACAAACCCCTGAGATACTTGAACTCCTCCACTTGAGGCAGAACCTCACCCTCGACCCAAAAAGAACAATCCACCCTTTTCCTGTTGAGGACCATGGCCTCAGGTTTAAAGGTGCTGATTCTCATCCCAGTCGCTTCACACTCAGCTGTGAACCGCTCCAGTGAGAGCTGAAGATCACGGCACGATGACGTTAACAGGACCACATCATCTGCAAATAACAGAGGTGGAATCCCTCCGCCCCCTGGCTGCACCGAGCAATTCTGTCCATAAAAGTTATGAACAGAATCTGTGACAACCGGCAGCCCTGCTGGAGTCCAACTCCCACCCTGAAGGGGTCCGACTTAAACCGGCAATTTGAACCAAACCCTCGCACCGCTTGTATAGGGACTGAACAGCTCGTAAGAACGGGCCCCAGTCCTATACTCAGAGCATTTTTTTTATATATCTGTGAGGTCCTAATAATTCAAAACTCAGGTTCAGGAGGTTAAAAAACTTTAAAGACAATACACATGTTTTAAATGTTGATCATGTTGATCATGTTTTTAAAGCTTTTGACACTGTGGATCATAACATCTTGTGTCATAAACTCTCAGAAATTGGTTTCTCAGAACACACCATTGGTTGGTTCTCTAACTATCTTTCAGACCGGAGGCAATGTGTTCAACATAATGGTACTTCCTCCAGTTATTTAACAGTCAACAATGGTGTACCACAAGGCTCAGTCTTAGGACCCACCCTCTTTACAATCTACATACATAATGTAGGTAAAAACATCCCTAATGCATCCATACATTTCTATGCTGACGACACAGTTGTTTATTGTCGAGCTAAAACTGTTGCTAAGGCTTTCCAGCTTTTGAAATCTGCATTCAACATCATCCAGACAGATTTGTTTCACCTCAAACTTGTCCTAAATGCCGACAAAACCAAAGGGATTCTTTTTTCAAATAGGAAGTTGGTCCCAGCAGTTCTTCCTCTGATTTCATCCTCAAATGGTGTCCCCATTGAGTTTGTTGATTCCTATAAATATTTGGGTATCTTGGTCGACTCACATCTCTCTTTTAAGCTCCATGTGGAAAACTTGGTAAAGAAACTGAAAGTTAAACTGGGTTTCTTTTTCAGAAACAAATCCTGTCTAACCCTGAATGCTAGAAAACGCCTTGTATCTGTGACTTTCCTTCCCTCAATTGATTATGGTGATATTATTTACATGAACGCTCCTACAAGTACCCTGCAGATGTTGGATGCTGTCTATCATGGTGCACTAAGATTCATAACTGGCTGTGATTATCGTACCCACCACTGCACACTGTATTCACTGGTTAACTGGACATCATTAACTTCACGCAGACTCTCTCACTGGTACATTTTCATCTTTAAATCACTTCTTGGTCTGCTGCCTTCATACATCTCCGCCTACATGTCTCTGCGTGAGTGCAGCTACAGCGTGCGCTCTCAGGACATTATTACCTGCATTGTTCCCTCAATGAGGACTGAACTAGGCAAGAGGGTCTTCTCCTACTCCGCTCCTGTTTCCTGGAACATCTTACAAAAAGATTTGAAGCTCTCGACCTTGACCTCTCTAAGTGGCTTTAAGAATCTGTTGGACTCCTGGCAGGGACCAATGCAGACATGTTCCTGTTTTTAGTTTTATACATTTGTCTTGGAATCTAGCTGTTTTTTGTTTTGTTACTTTTTCCTTTTAGCCATCCTATTTGTTAAAAAAACAAAAACAAAAAAAAACTGTAGTATGCTTTTTTATAACTGTTTATTGTTGTTGCTGTTGTCCATTGTTGTCATCTTCCTTTGTTGAAATCAGGTCTCTTGTAAATGAGTCCTCGAGGCTCAATGGGATTTACCTGTATAAATAAAGGTTGATTGATTAAATGAAAAACAACAAAAAGTACTTTATTAGATGTCCAGGTAGACAGCTGTAACTCGTCCTAAAAGTCCTTCATGAACAGATTTTCTTTCTGCAACACAGTTTTTTAAACAAGGTATGACTTGTTGTATTTTATTATTTTCTCATCGTGTTTGATCTCATTCTGTCATCTTGAGTTCTACATGCACATTCCTGTAAACGTCGTGTCCCTGAATGCACCATCTGTTGCTCTAAAACCTTCTTGTTAGCGCTGCCATCACTGAAACATAAACTGACATGTTTTGGTCTGACCCAAACTGTGACGGGACCTGGAGTCTGGACCTTCTGCTCCCAGTCTTGATGGTTCTCTTTATCTTTGCCTCAGAGCGCTCAGCGTGCACTGTTTGGACCACAGCGTACATTAAGTCACATGCTCATCACATTCAAACAACATGGTTTTACAAGGATCATGTGATTTAATGAATTAGACCAAGTGACGCGTTGTCTGTCTGCTTTTAATCACAATGTTCAACCGTTCTGTTTGGACATCTTTAAACTACTTTGTACACCTCAGGTGAACAGAACTACACAGGTTTATGAGTCACTCATGTCTCTGTGCCGAGCGTAATCATAATAATAGTATATCAGTGGTAAATTGAGCCTATCAGAGCATCAACGACACACACTTATATATGTGTGTGTGTGTGTGTATGATGTTAGCTCCAGAGCTAATGGCATTTGATCCAGAGCTAATAGTGTTAGCTCCAGAGCTAATAAATTAAACATCACAAGTTGATCACATTTGACCCATATATAGTGCTAGTACAAAATACAACTTTATTGTCACGTTATAACTTTTTACTCTTGATTCTTGTGTTTAGTCTCCTCTACAAATAACTTTTAGTAGAGGTTAACGTGTAAGGAGTCCCTTTAAAACATGTTCCTGCGCATGACCAAATGAATGGAAAATGTTGAGATAAATGTGAAGGATGTTGAGTTCAGGCACACTCTCATGAAACATATTTGTAAAAACATCACTGCCTTTTTTATTTTATACTTTCTGGTGCTGATCTAAATGTAGTTGGCACAAATTTATCTTAAGATACAAAGTAAGCTTCAGTTCTGTGATAAATGCTGTTTTTTTACTGACTGTGATTGAGAAGAAGGAAAAGAATCGAACAGCTGTTCACGGTTTCTTTACAAAAAGCTCATTGTGTTGTTTTGTTCTGACCCGGTTCCTGCAGCTACAGGTGGGTTCGTTTTGAGGTGTGCCGTCCCGGGGATGCTCAGGTCCCTCTCAGCTTGTCGGACGACGATGCCTCGATTAACTTCGAAGCCTACCAGAGACACCAGGCCCCGGGCGGCAGCAGCAGGATGGAGCACGGCCCGGGTGTTGGTGCTGCTTTGTTCTGTTTCAACAGTTCATGAATCACAACGTTCAGCTCATTCACCACATTCCTGCTGTGAGTTCTGGTATTTGTGCAACTATTACATTTTGAAATATTTAACTTTGTCTGCCGTGTTTTTCTCATTGAAAATGGAGCTCTTCACATCCTTCAAACCCTTTAGCTGTTTAAAACTTTTACTGCTCATTTCACTTCATTTTTTTAAACTCCTTTCAACTTTCTGCTTTTTCAGCTACTTTTTATGTATTTTTCTCTTAATACCAGCCTTTTCCCTGCTTTTTTTAAATATTTTGGCCGTTTGTGCTTCTTTTGTATAATTTCAACCTTGAATGCTCCTTTCAGTCTCTTCCTGCCAATTTCAGCTAAAAAAGGCTTCTTCTTGCAGATTTTTTGTAACATATTCAGCCTCTCTACCTCCTGCAGCTTTTTCTAAAAATGTCTGTTTTTCAGCTGCTTTCAGCTTTTATTTTCTAGCTTTCAGCAAATGTCAGTTCACATTAACAGCTTAGAGATGAAACCTATCCATCTGGTTTTAGCTTCTTCAGCAGCTTTTCCTTCAGCAGTAAGAGTAAGGGAGGGGTCAGTGAAGAGCACCAGTGTTGGGCCTTTTGTCATCCAGTGTCTTCAGTAGAGAGAGAGACACGAAGAAACGATAAAGCCGTTAAATGAAAATGTTGATCATTTTCATTCATCGTACGATTAATTGATTGATTTATCGCAACAGGTCTAACTGTTCCTCCTCCTGAGTCACATAACGAATCGGGCCTTTTAGAAAAGTCTTTTGAGGCTGTTGTACTCATCTCAGCTTTGATTCCGACATGGTGAGTCTCCTCTGTCTTCCTTCAGGACAAACTGCCATCTCCTGGTTCCTCTCATCAGCACCAGCTGACCTCCAACCATGAAGCCCTCCAACCTCCTGCTTCAGCTCCTGAGGTTCTTCGAATCCCCCAAAAACACACAAAGTCCTGTCTTCTTCACCAGTTTCCTCCTCTTCCTCAGAAGTCTGAGGTATTTGTTTAGATAAATAAATGACTTATGTCGGAAGGCTCAATCAGAGGACGTCACCGTGCGTGACACGGAGAATAAATCAGAGTCAGAGTTTCTTTGTCATTCGCACCTCATGTGGTACATGTGGTGGAGCGAAATTATGTACACGGGGTCCCAGCATTTTATGAGTTTAAACAGACCTGTTTCATGATGGAAGCTGAATTAGACTTGTTTTATAATCCTGAAATTAGGAGTTATTTTCGTGTAAATACAGATTGTAGCAGCGCACATATTCACTGCTGCGCTGGTTATTTATCTTTAATTTTACAGGTGAACGTTTGTAAAAATGTATTTGTATTAAAGTTTAATCACAATAAAAATGTAACCCTCATGATTCTTTCATATTAAAAGAAAAAAGGAACATTTCAACAGCCCAGTTTTTACCAGCAAAGGATCACAAATATGTTGAAAAACAATCAAAAGTTGGTATGGTATGGTATAAGGTTTATTCATAAAAAAAAAAAAAAAAAAAAACAATTCCATAACAATATAAAAAAATACAAGAGATTTAAAATGAAAGGCAGCAGAAAGAAAAAAAAAATCTCATTATACCTGCCCCTTTTTTCTAACAATTTAATCATAATAATTTTCAAGTAACTGAACAAAATGAATAACTTTTTAATTTTTCTAATTCTAATACAAAACACACACTAAGCTATTTCATATATACTTTTTTAACAATCCAGTTTTGATCTTTTTCTTAAATGTTCACATTGACTTGGCATTTTTCACATCACTCTCTAGACCATTCCACAATCCAACTCCTTGGATTGAGGTAGACCTTCCCTTCAGACTAGTTCTGAATTTGGGTTTGACAAATATCTCTATCCCCTTAAGATTATAACAACTTTGTCTTTTAACAAAATTTATTTGAATATTTAATGGTAATGTGTTATTTTGAGCCCTATACATAACTGATAAAATACTGTAATCTACCAAATCATGGAACTTCAATAACTTCAGTTGATAAAATAATGTGCTTGATGGGTGACTGTAATGCTTTCTGGTGATAATTCTTATAGCCCTTTCCCTGACTTTGTATAGTACTGCAATAGATTTAGATATTTTTGTTCTTACAGAATTTATGTGATTTTTCCATGTTAGCTGTTCATCAATGATTACACCCAAAAATTTAATCTCATTAACTCTACAAATCTCAACACCCTCAAATTTAAATGGATCATCAACAGTTCTCTTTTTGTTACTAAATATCATGTATTTAGTTTTATCTAAATTTAGTGATAATTTATTAAGTTTAAACCAAGTTTGTATTTTATCAAATTCTGTCTTCATCAATTCCAACATCCGTTTTACATCTTTACCCAAACAAAAAAATGTGGTGTCATCTGCAAAAAGGACACATTTGAGGAGTCCTGATACATTCACTAAGTCATTCACATATAAAATAACTTTGGTCCAAGCACAGAGCCTTGAGGAACTCCACATGTGATATTGCAGAGGTCAGATCTTACACCATTTATTTGTACAAACTGTTTCCTATCTTTCAAATAGCTAGATACCCAGTGTAATGCTGGTCCTCTTATACCATATTTAATTTTTCAAGGACAATAGTGTGGTCAATAGTATCGAATGCTTTTTTAAAAATTAACAAAAATACTAACACAATACTGTTTTTGATCGACAGCAGTAGTTATTTGTTCTATTAATTCCATGAAAGCCATTGATGTAGAGTTTTTTGCAAAAGTTAAAATGATACCCAACATTTTTCATTTAGGTCATCTGGACAGTTTCGTTTTTTGTTGAAACGTTTCACCTTCGATCCGGAAGGCTTCATCAGTCAAGGAAACACACAACAAAACTGATTCTTCCCCCAACAGCTTACTCCAAAGTGGAACAAACCAGTTTTGTTGGTGCTAAGATGGTGTCTTTGGCACGCCCCTCCTCCATTGCCGGCCCTCTTCCTTGTTGACTGTCGTGTCAAACTGATGGAAAACAACAAAGTTCATGCTCAATAATCCAGGTCCAGATGACCTGACTGAAAAATATTGGATTGTATACCTGGATTATTGAGCATGAACTTTGTTGTTAAAATGATACTCTTTTTTTTTTTTTTTTAATTCCTTACGAGTTTATTTTATTTTCAAAACATGAAACTGTAAAGCTAAATGAATGAAATCTGTTTAAAAAAAGTTAATTGCATTAAAATGTCTCTGTTGTATTTCATTTTCACTTATTTCAGTCAGGACCATTTAAAGTTATACAGAGATAAAAAAAAAATGTTAATATTTAAATCAGTCGTGTGACAATGTGAAAAAACACCAAACATTCAGGTGATTTTATATTCATCCATAAAAAAGCCCCAGTCAACAAATAACATTGGCACAAAGTAACGTTTAAACCGATCCTTTCAGGGGTTTTCTCCTCTCAGAACGTGGTTCAGTAATTTTTCCAGATATTTCCTTCCCCATTATATCGATGGATGATAAAAGGAGGAGCAGGTAGAGTCCCAGAGGTGCTGTAGACAGGACAGGCTTTAAACCCACAGGGCCAGTCTGTCCACGCGTATCGAACAGCTGCTGCTTCAGTTGGATCAGAACACCGGCGGGCAGACAACTGGACCGAGGTTGGACCCCAGTCCATGATGTCAGCTGGAACCCACAAGGACCCAGGCCCACATGGAGCTTTCATCTCTGAGCAGCAGATCTTTAAAAAAGAAAGAACAGGTAATACTTCTTTGGCGTTATCATAGATAGATCAGATATTGTATAAAATCAATAAATATGAGGTAACAATTTTTAAAGAAAATGGAGAACTAATAGATTCCCACTGAAGTGTTTATTTTATTTTTTTCTTCTTCTGTTGAAGTAACTGCCAGCTGGCTGGTGAGGATTTTCAATCCTCCAGTACAGAAAAAAGCAAAATAAAATATACAATAGGACTTCTGCAGTTAGAGGTTTTACTGCTCATCCGGGGAGTTTTCTCAGTATTTTATTTTATTTTTTAAAGCTGCAGATTAATCTCCTTCCCCTCCCTCCTGAGGGTCATCAGGGTATTTGTCTATTTTCTGAGGAATATCAGTATATCTGTCTCCTTCCTGAGGGTCATTGAGGTCTTTGTCTCTTTTCTGAAGGTCATTAGGGTTTTTGTCTCCTGTCTGAGGGTCAACAAGGTCTTTGTCTCCTTTCTGAGGGTCATCAGGGTCTTGTCTCCTTTCTGAGGGTCAACGAGGTCTTTAAATAAATATGACTTGACTTGACTTTCCTTTCTGAGGGTCATTAGGCTCTTTGTCTGCCTGGCTCACAGAGAGATGTTTTGTTCACCTTCATGAAGGTGCCAATCAGAATGGAACTGACTGGGTCTAATGCTACTCTGCAGGTTTTAGACATTTGAAACCCGAGACGACCTCCTCTGTTTAAAGTAGTTTTTCTCATTAGTTGGAAGCCCCTTCCTTCACCCCGCTATCAAAACATCGGTCTTCCCTGTCCATCATGTCGGTCCTCAGCAGTGTCCCTTATCCTTGATGTGTAGGTGGACCACTGAGTCTCCGGTGTTGAGCCATTAGTGGAGAGGTTGTTTAGTTTCTCCAATAGAGAGGTCTGAACAGTCCTCACTGCACTGGACTGCAGACACCACTCAGTTTGGGTCTGGGGGTTCTGTTCTCAGGATGCATGGGATCAAAACATGTCTCTGTAAACCAGGCTAACAAAGAGCCTGATGACCCTCAGGAGAGAGGGCTAAATAGTTTGATCTGTAGGTGGCTCTAGGTTACAAAACAGCATCTTCTGCTGTTATAAAGTTTAGGGCTCCACACTCCAGTTTTTGAAATGAGAACACTCCCTGGAGGAAATGCAAAACGTCTTCAATTACAGAATAAAAGTCCCTGCGTTTAGTTTTTATTTAACCCGAGCCTCACCTCAAATAAACTTTTGGGTTTAGCAACAGAGACAGGTTGGTCATATGTGATGTTGATGGACACATGAGAGGATGCTATTTGATTTGGGAAAGGTCCTGTGAAGACTACGTCCTGTTCATCGTACGCCACTGCTCTGGCACCCAGCGTCAGTCTGAAAGCTACATCCTGCTTGTCTCTGGGATGGATTCTGAAACGAACAAAAAAATAAACTCATAAACAAGATAATCTGTTCCAGCCCACAGGATTTGACGAGCAATAAAAACCTTTACGGTTCGACCCACTGATTCACGTGCTCAAGCTTGTGGAACAGAATTGTGATCAATGATTTCCTTACGTTTGGATATTTTTTAATCAATAAAACACTTCTGAAGCCTCTGCTCTCTTCATTTCATCCAGTCCTAAAAACACTTTGGTTTTTTATGTTTTTGTACTCTGGTGTTTCATATCTTAAAGTCCCAGATTTATGTGCTTTAGCAAGAAAACTAAAAATAAGAGGCTAAACATTTCTTTGTGCCGTATACTCCTAAAGTGCAGTTTCACATTTTAAATGATGAGATAAATTAGTTGTTTTAGCTCATTGATGGTTTGATGGCATCTTTTAGGTTTTCCTCACTTTTTAAACGTTTCTCATATTTTGCTCAGTCTTCAAAAAAATGTAAAACTATTTTTTAGATATTCCAAGACTGGTCTATGATTTCTCATGGATTCATACAGCTGCATTCTGAGAGCAGTTTCAGAGAATGTCATCTGCACTTTCAAGTTCAAATTGTAATCCTAAAAATAATTTTAAAGCAGGATATTGTCCCTGCCCAACAAGGAGTATGTTACCTTTGTTGTCTAATACATGTTAACCTGTGGTTGGTACTGGTTATACGTTATACAGTATATGTATTTAATCATAGCTCCGTTTGCTTTTAAGATATGGGACTTTTATATAGATATATTGTTTAACGTTTCATTTAATAATATTTTAAACAAAAATATATAAATCCTCTGTGCAAAGCACTGGTTACATCCAACAAAGTTCAGTCAGGTCATCTGGACTTTTTTTTTTTTTTTCCTGAGACATTTTGTCCTTCATCCAAAGGACTTCTTCAATCTGAGGAGTCACCAAACAAACTGATTCCCACAAACAGCACACTCCATAGTAGAAAAAAGCAATTTGCTGGTGCTAAGATGGCCTTCAGGGCCTGACTGAACATAGTTAGATTTTTTTCTGGATTATTGAGCATGAACTTTGATGTTTTAAACCACTTTGGCATGACTGTCTCAGAAGAGTTGATGGGAGAGAGGGTGGGCCACGGAGGCCATTTTAGCACCAGCAAACTGTTTTTTTTTCCCACTATGGAGTATGCTGTTTGTGGGAATCACTTTGTTTGGTGGCTCCTCAGATTGAGGAAGTCCTTTGGATGAAGGACAATACGTCTCAGCAAAAAAAAAAGAAACCGTCCAGATGACCCGACTGAATATTGATGGATTTTATACCTGGATTATTGAGCATGGACTTTGGTGACACAAGGATGACTTAAACTGATCAAGTAGTTGCATTACCACATGACCTTTGAGCAGAAATATTGTATGTTCATTTTGGAGCCATATTAGAAAAAGCCTGCCCTCTTTGATTTCCAGATGACCATTTAAATTTGACAAAGTACCTCAAAGATCATCACCCTAACAAGTTTGGTGCTTGTATCAAAAGTTGCTTGGTTTTTCTATTATCCACTCATGAACAATCCTAACAGCAGATGTTTGGTGATGTGACGATTATTTGATCTGATATTATTTAAGACATTTTTCATGTCCACAGTCTACATGAAATATTAAAACATGGGTGGGTGTGTCTGACCGGCTTGGTACCAGTAATCCCTGCAGCGTCTCCCATGTTAGTCTCATGTTCAAGCCAAGTTTCAATGTCTTCATTAGATTTCCTAGAACTTGGATCCTTACGTGCCATATGGTGATGTTTTATCAGGTAAATCAAGCGCCACAGCCATGAAGGTTTTCTTCATCCTGTAATTGGGGACGAAGCCCACGTCGGCTGTTTGGTGCCAGCGGATCTCTGGAAAACCATCATCTGTTGAGTTTTCTTTGTAGGTGGCCAACTGGAAGGAGACATGAGCAAGTGCTGTTAATCTTGATGACTTCAGTGTAAAACCATTTTGTGTTTTGGATAAAGAAATGAAAAGTTTTAGATTCCAGAGCTGAGCGTACTTGAACAAATCCAAATGGGAAGTCGGGAGTGGTCTGCCACCCTGAGCCTTGGTGAAACGCCAGCCTCCAGTCATCGATCATGGCGGGGAAAGAACAGTTATACTCGTCCTTGTGATATTCTGCGTTCGCCTCACCTGAGAGAGTCATAAACAGATGGGCTTAGAGTTTTTGAGTTTCCAGAACTCACACTGCCGGTCAGCTTCATGATACCTTGATACCAAATGACTCCGTAGATGGTCATGTTGAGGAGGGGGTGGATCATTGCGTTCCACAGAACAGAGTTTTGTGTTTGGGCCCTGAGAGAAACAGGAAGCAGACATTATTACCCAGATATGTTCTGAATGTCGGACTCTGGTGTCCTTACCTGTCTTCAGCATCCTCCAGTCCACAAAGCTTCAGGGCTCTTACAGATGACCAGGCCTCTACAGGTGTGCCCCCCCAACAGGATTCTACCAGTCCTATAGGGTACTTCAACCTGTCGTACATGTAGCGCCCAAAGAGCCAGCACACGGCTGAAAACTGGGACAGAACACCTTGAGGGGCAGCAGCTCAATCAGTTTGATGAACGCAAATGTTAGGAAACTCTGATACAACTCAAGGACCAGAGATGCTTTCAGGAAAGCACATTGACCGCCGTGTTTCATACCTGAGTTTTAGACCAAGATCATCGTATGATGAGAGTTACAGCCATGTTGGTTAAACCTTAAAAATAACATTATACACAATCTAATGCAAGTATGTGTTAAGGATGACTCTTACTTACCACATGAAACTTTAGCTCATTATCTGTAATATTGACTGAGTTAGAACCATTTTTGTGTAGGCTAATATCAATTAGCTTCAGTGGCCATCTTGAATGAGGTTGAATCCAAAATGTAATCCCCTTTAACTTGTGGGGTGCCACAAGGCTCAGTTCTGGGTCCACTTTTGTTTTCCTTTTATATTATTCCACTTGCTGGCATTATTCAGTCCTTTTCTGATATTTTCTATCACATTTATGCTGATGATATTCAACCGTATTTATTGTTTAGACCACACCAGCTGGACAAGATGGCCATCCTTGTCCAGTGTTTGTCCCGTATTAGTGACTGGCTCGCCAGTAACTTCTTGGTTTTAAACACCAGTAAGACAGAGACTGTGATTACTCTCCCAGACACCTTCACCCAAAAATCAATCAGACAATTGCCTCTTTTTGACCAGTGGCCAAATCAAAAGTAAAAAATCTAGGAGTCACATTTGATTCATCATTAGGCTTTGAGGCAAATTAGGCTATTTCCCGTTCTTGTTTCTTTCAATTAAGAAACATTTCTAAAATACGACCTATGGTCTCCAAAGTTGACCTAGAGAAAATTATTTTAGCTCATCGCGATCGTATCATCGCGTCTGGACTACTGTAATGCCCTTTTTACCTGCCTGGACAAGTCTTCTGTTTCGCGTCTACAAGCAGTACAGAACGCAGCTGCCAGACTTCTCACCAAATCCAGTAAATACTCTCATATCACTCCGGTTCTATATTCACTACACTGGCTCCCAGTCGAGTTTAGCAGCTGCATTTTTTTGGTTGCTGACGTACAGAGCTTTTAAATGGCCAGGCTCCTGTGTATCTTTGTCAGCTTGCAACCAAATACTCTGCTGGTCGTGGCCTTCATTCACAGACATAGCAGAATCTCTTGGATGTTTCACATATGCGGCTGAAAACTAAAGGGGACAGGGCCTTTCTGTCAGTGGCTCCAAGACTGTGGAACAGTTTGCCCCTGCAACTTCGTTCTGCTGACTCTGTGGAGGTTTTTAAAAAACAACTGAAAACATTTTATTCTCCCAGGCTTTTATGTCATGATTTTATTGTGCTTCTTGAAGTTCTTATGCTTGTTTTTGTAGGGTTTCTGGGGTCTGGTCCTGCATGTTGCGTTTTCCCCTAATGTTTACCAGTCCCTCCATCATTTCTCGTCCTGTGTTCCAGCACTGTCGCACCTGTGTCCAATCCTAATCACCGTAGGAGTCTGTCATTTTCACCTTGTCAGCGTCTGTATAGATTCAGCCCCTATAGTGTTATGTTTTCGATATCCCTCCGTGTCTCTCCTTTAAAGTAAGTCTGCTGCCCTGAAAGCTTTTTGTTTTGTTTATTCATATTAAACATTTTACTTATTTCACTGGAGTCTCCTCGTCTTCCTGCACTTTGGCTTCTACACAAGGAAGCCGATCATGATAGTTTTATTCTTTGTATATTTTAGCGTTGATTTCATTGCCCAGCGCTTTGTGATTTTATGTCTGTGATAAACGCTCTATAAATAAACTTTACTTACTTAAATAAGTCGTAGAGCCAGTCTATTACTTTCTGAAAGTTTCATAAGAATTTGCCCAGTGGTTCATGAGATATTTTGCTAACAGACAAAAAGGGTTGACTCTAATTAGTTAAGGTCACAGTTTTAAGCAAAACTAAAAAAAACAACCTATAAACAATATACAGTTCTAAATTTACCAAGAACTTTTTTGTACGTTTAGTAGATTCAAGTTCTATATTAAAATAAAAATCTTCCATGTTAGTGGAACGTCATTGTTTTTCTAACATTCCAGATATGCGTTTTAAAAGTACAAAACTCTGAATTAAACCAAGGAGCCAGCTTTCTCTGATCACTTTCTTTTTTTAAAGGAGCAATGTTAACAAGTGATGTTTGCACTGAAACTGTAATTTAATAATATGATATAAATACTTCTCTCTGTTGCATCACTGCAAGATGAAGGAAAATTATATTGAAAGAGATTCTTTAGATTTAGTTAGTTGTTTAGTTCTGATAAATATTTTGGACATTTAGTAAAAATGGTCCGACAGAGCAGGACTGTGAGAATCTGTCAGAACCAGATCATAAGGATGAGGAGGCTTGTGGACATATTGGGTAAAAACGATTTACTCTAATAAATTAATAAAAAACTATGCTTCAATTATTGAAATCCTCCACTATTATGACTTTCAATATTCAACGAGTCCGATAAAAACCGAGGCTGAGAGCCTGGTGGACGATAAATACCAACAAATAATGTTTTATTCTGATTTTCATTTTGAATGAAACAGACTGAGGGTCAAAGACTCAATAATTTGTTTAACATTAATCTATAATACTGACTAGAAAACAGCAGCAACTCCTCATCGACCAGTTGTTGTAAGAACATGAACGTTTAGTGAATTAATTTCAACTAACAGAGTCCTGCTGTTGGAGCCAGGTTTCTGTCAGACAGAATAAGTCTATATGATGATCAATTTTTAAATCATTTGGATTAGAAAACCTGGACTTACGGGCTGTGGGCTCAGACCAGGGCAGCTCCACCAGGATTAGATCAGTCAGCTCAGTTTTACTCATGCCCCAAGCTGTCATGAACAGCCTCACGTGAGGATATTTGGATGAGAGGGCCAGCTCCTCAGATGCATTGAAAATCTACAAATTAATAAAGAAACATAAATAATAAAAGAAAGATTAAAAGAAGTGGTTTAGCCAAAAATTTGGACAGAATTGAAATCAGATTTTTGTTCTTCCTCGCTATGCAAGTCTGTTCAGTGATAAATAAATGTCATCATCGCTTTAACCAGACTAAAACCCATTGAGATCAAGATCTCTTTTCTCTGACCAAGAGGTCAGAACACACATTGTGAAAGATTAATCCAAACAATTAATGATATAGGATAAAAACATTGTATTTCTTCTGTCAGAGATAGGCCTGTCGTGATAAACAATAAATCAATCGCATGATAAATGAAAATAATCAACCTCATTTTCATGTACCGGCTTTATTGTTTCTTTGTGTCTCTCTCTTTCTACTGAAGACACTGGATGACAAAATGCTCAACTCCGGAGATCTTCACTGACCCCTCCCTTTCTCTTTAAAATCCATTTTAACCGTCCAAAATCGTGTTTTTGGATCGTTAAAAGCAGCTAAGCTGAGAAGCTAAGCTATGAGCTAATCTAACAGGCTGACCTCGAGGAAAAAAACTCTGTCTTGTTGAAGCTCCAAAATTCATGGTGGAAACCCGTGTCTTCGTGTAAAAAGTTGTTTTTCTCTGCAAAAGAAGCTGAGAACTTGTTTACTGATTTTTTTTATTAAAAGCTTTGTGTGAAAAATGTTATGCTGAAGAGCTCAAACCATACTGAGTGTATGCCATTTTGAGAACTGAAAAAAGGAAAGAGAGACAGCCCATGTCACGTCAAGGGGCCTCCCTCCCATTTTTCTTAAAGAAACACGCTGCTCACTCCCTCACTATCCATCCTTCGGTTCAGTCTTGTACTGCCATCCGGTGGTCAAAAAAGGTACTACACTCAAAACAAATTAACCAACATTTCTTCTTAAATTTGACAATAATGACTAATTATTGTCAAATTTTAAACAATATTATCGTTTATCGCAATAATTTCTGGGACAATTAATCGCCCAGCAAAATTTGTTATTGTGACAGGCCTAGTCAGAGAGGAGGCAGGTGTTGGTGTGGCTCTCTGTACCTGAGATGTTTGGAAGAACATGTTGCTCTGTCCTCCACACAGCCAGATGTCTCCAAACAACACATTTGTCAGAGTCCGGCTGCTGTTCTGACTCACAGCAGTCACATTGTAGGGACCGCCGGCTTCAACAGGGTCAAGGGTCACTCGCCAGATGCCTTTAATAAGGACAATTAGTGTTTTAACTGTAAAAATAAAGTGACTAAAAGTTTGCTCCAAAGGACAGAACAGACATCAGATTAATCTAATCTGTGTTCCTCAGAGAGTGACGACTGACAGACAGCTTTTAGAAATCATTGCTGACAATGGCTGATGTACAGTAGCTATAAAATAGAATTATTTATTTTTCCTTTGGCAATTATCATTAATAATTTATTATTACATATTAAAACCTACAAGATAAAACTAATTAAATGATCACAGTACAGCACAGTGTGAAATGGTCAAAATAAAATATAGCCAAAGGCTCAAAGAAAAGCCTAACATAAAAATTAGCCAGATATTTCAGACAATGTTCATGGGTGTCAGATGTTGCAGTAAAAGCCCTTCAGCCCTGCTGAGTCACATGGGACAACTCATGTTTGTCAGTGTTAGAAACGAGAACAACCAACGGAGAAACAAATGGTTTATTTCATGGCGCACTTGCGTTTTACCGAGGACCGCAGTCCACTTCTGCAGCTTTTCATGTTAGTTGAGGTGCAGGAACATCTGTTTCAAGCTGATCAGATCAATTTTGTCGCCCAATAACAGATTAAACTCTTAATCTTAAAGGAATTCAATTATATTTAGACAACGTGATTTATTCACTTTAACCATCAGAACAGTTGGTGGACAGATGAGTGCGGGTCAGAGGTCATAGGAGGAATCTGTGCTTCAGTGTTTACAGGCCGAGCTTCTAGCCCTTGTTAACACACCTGTGCCTCTTTCAGGCCAAACACACCTGTTAATGCTGAAGAAGCAGCTGAGTGTAATTACAAACTATAAAAATATAGCAATATCCACACTAATTGATGAGTTAATATAAAATATAACACTGAGCTGCAAAATTTAAAGTCAGATTATCCTTGTCAATTATTGTGCTGCACTTTACTTAGACCTGTTTAAAGTTTTTGACACTGTGGACCATGACATCTCGTGTCATAAGCTCTCAGAAATTGGTTTCTCAGATCACACCATTGGTTGGTTCTCTAACTATCTCTCAGATTGGAGGCAATGTGTTCAACATAATTAACATTTTCAATTCAATTCAACCTTTATTTAAACAGATGTCACAACGCGCCTTGAAGACTCGTTTACAAGTGAGACCTGTTTGGACAGACAAGTAGTGAAAAACGAACCATAGGGTTTGGAGACAAAAAAAATGCCTAACACGCTTTTAATCTTTGGTTGAAGGTCAACAGCGTGAGAATGAAAAAAAATTTTTCTCGCACATTAGCACATAATTATGCCAACAGTCTGTGGGGTTGGGGGGTGGGGGGCAATAATGGTACATCTTCCAGTGATCTAACTGTTAATAATGGTGTACCACAAGGTTCGGTCTTAGGTCCCACCCTCTTCCCAATCTCCAGAGGTAATGTAGATCAGATCATCCATGATGCATCTTTACATTTCTATGGTGATGATACAGTTGCTAAGGTTTTTCAGCTTTTAAAATCTGCTTTTGACATCATCCAGTCAGATTTGTTCCGTCTAAAACTTGTGCTAAATGCCAATAAAACCAAAGGGTGTTACTATTGAGTTTGTCGATTCTTACAAATATTTGGATATCTTGGTCGACTCGCATCTCTCTTTTAATCCCCACGTGGAAAACTTGATAAAGAAACTGAAAGTTAAATTGGGTTTCTTTTTCAGAAACAGATCCTGTCTAACTCTGAATGCTAGGAAACACCTTGTGACTGCGACTTTCCTTCTCTCCATTGATTACGGTGACATTATTTATATGAACGCTTCTACAAGCACCCTGCAGATGTTGGATGCTGTCTATCACGGTGCACTAAGATTCATAACTGGCTGTAACTACTGTACCCACCACTGCACCCTGTATTCACTGGTTAACTGGTCATCAACTTCACACAGACTCTCTCACTGGTATATGTTCATCTTTAAAAAATGTCTTGGTCTGTTGCCTTACATCTCCTCCTACATGTCACTATGAGTGCAGCTACAGCGTGCGCTCTCAGGACATTATTACCTGCAGTGTTCCCTCAGTGAGGACTGAACTAGGCAAAAGGACCTTCTCCTACTCCGCTCCTGTTTCCTGGAATATCTTACAAAAAGACCTGAAGCTCTCAACCATGACCTCTCTAAGTGGCTTCAAACATCTGTCAAGTTCATGGCAAGAACCAATGCAGACATGTTCCTGTTGTTAGTGTTTTACATCACTTTATAATGTAGCTGGGGTTTTTTATACATATAATTTTGTTCCATTTATAGTTTTTTTTTTTTTCAATTTATATGCTTTCTTTTATGATTGTCTACTGTTGTCATCACTCTTTGTTAAAATCAGGTCTCTCTTATAAACGAGTCCTCGAGGCTCACTGAGAATAATCTATAAAAATAAAGGTTGAATGAAAAAAGTTAACTCCACAGTCTGCAGCTATTTAACAGTTCAAAAGTGTCCTGACTTCACATACTGATGTGTGAAAGATTATAGTCCAGGTGTGCTCATTATACAGTGCTGAAAAGGTTTTATTTTTAATTGAACTCTAAACAAGTTCTGATAATTCATTTAAATTGTAAGATTAGTTTTTAACTGTAACTTCTTCAGTCTGAGGAGCTGCAACAAACTCAGTCTTATAAGCAGCACCTTCTCATAGTGGATCAACCAGTCTGCTGGTGACATCCAGAACTAGCTGTTCATGTGTAAAAGGAGAACCAACCACCTAACAACCAATCGTTAGTGCCCTGATGGCCGCTTGCTATTCACAGAGGGCTGAGTGATACTAACAATAACAGCATTGTAAGAAGGTGACAGTTGGACATGGAGGCATGATTGATGGTTTATCTCCACAAAGATGGCCTCCTTCACTCCTCTCTCAAACCAGCATTCTTCTCTGATGAGTGTAAACCACAGAGTCCTGGCCTGATAATGTTATTGTAAAAGTAACGTTTGATAGTAAAGCACAAATAAAGCATCACACGTCTAAATGTGACCCAGACTCCTGGACTTTGCTGATCATTTGTGTCATCCAGACGTTCTGATTGTTGATCTAACTGCAGCCTCAGACTGGAGGTGTCAGGAGAAAGTCCTCATCTGACTGTTTACTGTTATTGTTGACTGTACTTTATATGTTCTGTCTGGAACAGGTCTCTCTTGTAAATGAGTCCTTGTGACTCAGTGAGACTAGCCTGTATAAATAAAGGCTGAACGAATGAATGAATGAATGAATGAATGAATGAATGAATGGCGTAAACAGCTGTATTTACCTGCTGTCACAGTGGCAGGCGTGGTTTTGTGTGTTACAGGTCCTGACAGGTAGACGGTGACCTCTGACCCCTCAAGGCCATACCCCCACAGTCTGGCTCTCTGTGGAGCTTTCTGCAGGACCATGTGGTCTCCATAATACGAAGCAAAGCGCAGGACCCCAGCACCTGTCCACACAGAGATCAACAGGAATTACAAATATATTACTGTGAGTTAAATTCAACATAAACATTAAAAATGGTTGGATGCTGTGTAAGAGAAACCTTTTATTTCTGTTTTCTACTGCTAAAGCAGCTGAATAATATCCTGAAACAGACACTTTGACTAACTGTACTCACCAGAGCTGTGAAAAGGAGCTAAAAGTAAAATAAAAGCACAAACTACTGCCATGACAAGTAAACAAACAAACAAAAAGCTCAGAAGCCCTGTAAACAACAACCAGTTGAACACCACCCAAACTAGAAACAAACTTGGCTTCAAATGGTGCGTTCATGCGTTTTAACCACAGACAGCTGTGACGTCATTCAAGGGCTCCAGCAATCGAGGACCTTCAAAATAAAAGCACGCATAATCGATTTAAATATTCTAATTTTTTTTTTTTGCCTTTTGCCAATTTTCAGATTGACACAGCAGCAGCAAGAATATTTACAAACTACTTATGCCTCAGAATACCACAGAGTAACTAAATTAAATCAGCCTTGACTTTAAAGCTGAAAAAAAAAAGCAAATAAACAAAAACACAAAAGAACCATGAAACAGATTGTATGCTTTAACATTTCATCACTCTTTTCAGTGATGTGGGCTTGTACACCATTGGAAAAATGTAAAACACGGTGTTTGGGAACACATCCATCCATTATCTTTATCCACTTTTTCCTTGGGTTGAAAAAATGTCAGTCATTTTGACAAACTTCAAAATATGTCATCAATCTCATGGAATATGGCAAGGTGACATGCTTAGAGTATGTGCTGTGTATGACTCAGCTTCTAGCATTTTGCTACTTCTGCTACTAAGCTAGCCTTATGGTGCATTTTTAATAGTGTTTTGCTGCAAGGAGTCCCATGTAGGGCTGGGCAGTAATCAATATCTTAGTTCTCACATGTGATCTCATGACGTGTATTATCTGCCCTTCGTGCTGCATGAATTAAAATCACAATTATACATGTTACCATAAGTTCAGATGTTAAAACAGGCACGTGTAAAAATAAAACATTTTATTACTGGGTTCAGATATTAACCCAACCCCCTCAGAACAAGCTATTGAGAGGATTGGACAGATCCACTTCACCATTAAAGCTCTCCCACACAAAGCGATCAGACCTGACAGAAGCTCATCTGACTCATCTACCCAACACCCTGACAGAGGAAGCTTTCAGTTTTGTTGAAAACACCCAACTTCACATTTGGAAAACCAAGGAACAAAAACAAAAAAGTTAAATTTCAAAAATTACAGCAGAAAGATGCTTCTTCACAATGAATAACCAGTCAACAACTGGAGGAGGCCACTGACACAAAGCCTCAGGAGCAATGGATTAAAAACCTGTCCAACAGGACGCTGACAGCCAGAGATGGACGTTCTGGCTAAAGGTCTGAAATTTGTCATTGATCCACCCATTTTGGAATTTATCACTGTCACTGAATCTGCCATCAGGAACAACAACCTGACTGAAACTGAGGCAGAACAACTCAAGAAGAAGGTGACAGCCACCCTATCCAGTGCTAAATCCCCTCTTTCAAATCTCACACCACAAGACAAAAAAGCTATAACATCTCTTAGCCAGAACCAAAGCATCACCCTTTTCCCAGCTGACAAAGGAAGAGGTAAAGTGTTCCTCAACGCTTCTGATTAGCAGGACAAAATATCTACACTCCTGAGTGACACCACTACATATAAGACCTTTAAGAGGAACCTAATCAGCACCTACAAAAAGATCACAGACTACGTCCAACAACTTGAAAAAGACGAGGTAATCAACTGTTCTTTTTAATGCAAATTATAAAGTTATATCCAGGGGAAGCCATTCCATGCTTATATGGACTTCCCAAAATCCACAAACTAGGAACACCACTCAAACCCATCAGCAGCAGCATAAACTCAAGGCTTATAATATTGCAAAACATCTTGCTGGCATTTTAGCTCCTCTTGTGGGAAACATACCACATCACATGGAGAACTCCATGGACTTGTAGAACAAAGTTAAACATTTGAAGATGATTACAGGAGAAACACTTGTATCTTTTGACGTCACCACTTTTCACCTGCATAGCCACGTCAGAAGCAGTAGAAACTGTCAGGAAACGTCTTCAAAGAAATAATGACCTTAGCAACAGGACCAATTTCATCCCGGACCAAATCTGTACCCTGCTGGACCTTTGTCTTTCCACAACTTATTTCAAGTTCATTGACAGAATTTACAGACAGAAGCATAGTTTTGCCATGGGATCCGCAGTGTTACCGACTGCGGCCAATCCATACTTAGAGAAAATGGAACAGCGAGCCCTGGACTCTTTCAAGGGAACAACACCGAGCCACTGGTTCAGATATGTGGATGCCACTTGGGTCAAAATCCATGAGAAATAAGTAGAATAATTCAGCAAACACATAAACTCTGTAGACAACAACATCAAGTTTACCAGAGAGGGTCTCAAAGACAACAAGCTGCATTTTCTGGACTGTTTGGTGAACATGGAAACAGATGGAAGTCTCACCATGAGGTTTACCGGAAACCTACTCAAACAGATCAGTATCTTCTGTTTTACCTTCACCACCCACTGGAACACAAACTGTCTGTCATCAGAACAGACAGTTCTGTACACCACCTGGCTGAACATGTCCCCACAAAAGACAGAAGGGAAGGAAAAGAAGCAGAAACACATCAACGAAGCTCTCCAAACCTGTGGATACCCTGACTGGGTTTTTGTTAATTCAGCAAAGAAATCCAAAAAAACACGCTGCAGAACAGAACAGAGAGAAGAACATACACCAAGCATCCCATATGTTGCTACTGTAAAACTCAGAATGATTTTCTCCAAACACAACATCTCAATACATTTTAAACCCAACGGGCCCCGAGAGGCTGGTCCATCCTGAGGTCTGAACTCACAAACACAGATTGGTGTGGTGTCTGCAGTTCAGTGCAGTGAGGAATGCTCAGACCTCCATATTGGAGAAACTAAACAACTTCTCCACAGATGCATGGCTCAACACTAGAGACTCAGCAATCCACCTACATCTCAAGGATAAGGGACACTCTGCTGAGGACCAAAATGTTCATATTTTGGACAGAGAAGAAAGACGGTTTGAGAGGGGGTAAAGGAAGCCATTTACGTTAAATGAGAAAATGCTGATGTGTCTATAAATGTCACCTGTTATAAAAGACTATGGATATTGTTTGCGGCTAATTTCTCTGTTAATGTTTTCTTGCATATGTTTTCATATACTGTATGCGTATGAATATAACCTGTCCAAAATGAGTCTTTGAAATACCGGTTAAAAAGCTTCACTCACCAAGAATGTGGTTCTTTTGAGAAAAATAACATTTGTGAATCAAAAAAAGGTTAAAAACAAAACAACTTGACTTTATTTGTAAATTAAGACGTTTCACTTCTCAGCCGAGGAGCTTTCTCAGTAAAAAGAAACTAGGAATGTGGGATTCAAGTTATAAAGCTGTGGTGTTCTGTAAACTTGCTTAATGCAGATTGACACATGCAGATTGACCTTTCACAATAGATGGTTGTTAGGGTCTTTGTTAGTTCCACTCGGAGAGGGGCCACTCTGCTGGAATGCCTGATGTGTGTGAAAATGGCTGGGTATCAGTCCTAAAAGCTGCATTATAGGTTTATGAAAATCTGAAATCTGATTCCTCCTCCTCTGTTTAAAGATGGTTTCTCTCTTTTTACATAAACATGGATGACATAATCTTCTCCAGCATTAGTGAACAAGATAATTTCTCCAATAGAAGTGACATGGTGACATGAATGTAGACATGGAAGCCAATGCTGGACTAAAGAGGCAGAGGTAAAGTTAGAACCAGTGTGGAAAACCATGGTGAGGTAAGTTCTCCCAACAGACAGCAACAATGAAATTAGATTTTGTTTCAGAAAAATGCCCCTTTGCCCATGTGGATGAATATTTCATGATGGTTGACCTGTGAACAGACGATCATTTACTGTATAATCTGGCTCAGTATCTTACACTGGCTGTGGTACAGAAACAGGTCTGCAGCCATGCAGTTTTAGCACATGGAGTGTTAACTGAACTCACTGACACCACAACTAACAGCCTGATGATCTGCAGAAAGAAGCTTCAATGGTTTATTCAATCATCCATCCATCCATTGTTCTGCCATCATCCATCCATCATCCATCCATCCATCATCCACCCATCCATCATACATCTGACCATCTATCCATCCATCCATCATCCATCTATTCATCCATCATCCATCCATCCTTTTAACTGTCTGTCCATCCATCCATTATCCATCCATCATCCATCCATCCATCCATCATCCATCCAACCATCCATCCATCATCCAACATCCATCCATTCATCCATGTATCTGTCCATCCATCATCCATCCATCCATTTATCTGTCCATCCATCCATCCATCCATCCATCCATCCATCCATCCATCCATCCATCCATATCCATCATCCATCCATCATCCATCATCCATCCATCCATCCATCCATCCATCCATCCATCCATCCATCCATCCATCATTTTGTTCTGGACTCTGGTCTCAGGGGCAGCAGCTTGAGCAGGGAGGTCCAGACATCTCTTTCCACAGCCACCTCTTCCAGCTCTTCTGGGAGGACTCCAAGGTGTTCCTAGACCAAATAAGAGACTACATCTCTCCAGCGTGTCTTGGGTTTTCCCCAGGGTCTCCTGCCTGTCAGACATCTCTGGAACACTTCCCTAGAGAGGTGTCATTACCTATTTATTTTATTATTTATGTTCAATTTATTTTGACTAATAAAAAATGTCAGTGGTTTGAAATGAAGAATTGTTGTGTTTGTTAATAATATTTATTGAATTAGGGCTGTGGTGGCTCAACGGTCAGTGTCGTTGACCCATAACCCTGAGACTGCAGGTTCAAGGCCTGGTCAAGTCAGGAAGGACATCCGGAGTAAAACAATAGGCCCTTTTCACAT